ACAATCCAACTGTACAGTATGTACCAAAAAGTAATGTGCTGCAGCATTATTGGTGTCCATTTCTTCCTTATGGAGGGTTTCATTGACTGTCCTCAATATACATGTCTAGTCAGCTGTCTTCACCATGATTCCCTCCCCTACAGACCCAGGCACAGATTTCGAGCAGTTGTGTGCACTCCTGGTCTTCAAGAGTCCCTTTGTAGAATATTTTGGTTGTTTGCCTGCTCCAGTAAACCTGATCAATCTGTTAAAGTACCTTGGTTTTCTGTTCTTATCTAACACACGAGAGTAGCAGAGTTTTTTCTTTGGGTCACCATCAGAGCTTGGTGGTGTCACATCTGTTGTCGTTTATTTGTTATCAAAAAAAAAATGTACAAACTCAGCTACTCTGTGTGTTAGATAAGAGCAGCAAACTAATGGAATTAGAAAAGATACACAGGAAGAACATAACATGGACTTTTGTCGAAGTACATGTCATCAAGCTATACAGCGACTTCAGCTATCAATCTGACCTAACACCCACTGATCATGTGTGTTGAAACAGGGAAACCTCCAAAATATGGTGGCTACTGAGAGTATAAGTCATTTAGGAATAGTCCCAATGCTCGCACTTCACTCTACGACCTTCATAAAAGCGCAAAGGAAGGAAGTGTGAAGTGGGTCTTCGAGTGCATAGTACACAAGTGCGCAAATAACTGCCGATTTGGGACAGTGAGCATTGCGTCATCAACCGCAACGCATGCGGATCGCTGTTTGTTCCAGTTTTTTATTAATCTTTAGTAACAACTTTCAAACTAACAATTTCTTGACAAAATTTACATTTACTGCCATTTACATAAAATCTTAGTCTAAAATATTCAGAGCATGATTCAATATCATTAATCTTCCTAAAATTAATTTTTTTCATTTGATAATGTCTACTTCGATGCAGACTTGGGCCAAATGCAGAGCAAGGGTGCAAAAGGGGCATGGTCACCTTCTGCACCTGAGGATCGGGACACCCAACGCACTCGCACACCTGGACTGGCGTGCCCATTTGAAGGGTGCAAGGGTGGAAGTGTGAGGATTGGTATTGTGCCTTAAAGGCTCAGGAAACATTTGCAGGTGTTTTCACTTAATTAGCTGATTAGGGCATGACAACAACAAGAGTTTATTGTAGTTAACTTTTTCCCAATAGTCACATTTTCTAAGGAACTTAAATGAGGGTTTTCATCATCTGTAAACCATAATCATCAAAATGACAAAAAGGCTCTATGATGAGTTTCACATTCTGAGAAGGGCAACAAATAATATTGAACAGAATTTTTTTTGGACGCGCCTGTAAAAGAACTTCAGTTAAAGAAAAACAAAATTGAATTATGCATCAGAAATGAGAAACAAAAGTGAAAAATCTGTTTATTTTTCATTTTTAAAAGGTATCTTTCATTGGGGGCGATGAAGGAAACACAGTTTACAAACACCACATCATTTGATGGAAACTTCTGAATAGAACCAAGACACAATAGCACAAATACAACAGAAGTCACTTGGAGAGAATAAATCAGATTTTAAATAATAGTCTGTTATGAAGCTTTCTAGCTTACATGTAAAAAATGAAAGATTGAACAATGGTGAGGATTTGTGAGCAATAAATATCAACAGATCTGTGTGAAGCATGTCACCAACAGGGGTGAATATATACAACATCATGCACTAAATCCTGAAATATGACATCAGTAGAGTGCAGAGAAAAACTCACGTTTGTCAGATTTGCTGGTTGAAACCAACAAAAAGGAATTGCTGGTGAAACTGACTCTTGTAGCTTTAGTTCTTCATCTGTGAGATAAGTTACATCATTTAAAAAAATAAATTCTCACCACGCTTATAGATATCACACGCAACGGCTTTAAGCCTTGTTTTCATTTGGTTTTAGCTTTTCAAACACAGTCCCTGTCAACCATTCTAGGTGATTTGTGTTTGCAAATGTGAACAAAAACTCGGTTAAGAGTGTAAAGTGACGCAGTTTTAGAGTGAAGATGTTTTTTCTCACTTCAACTACTTTTATGCAAAAATGGCAGAAAATGTACGTAAGAAGAGAATGCTGAGGCAACAATTTGAACACTTTAAGCTATTGCTTTTAAACTGGTTTCAGTGGCTCTTCTTGAGCCGTAAACTTGAGCTATTTCACATTGGACATCACTCTATTGCCCTCTGTTGACCAGAAGCCACACGCAACAGTTTTGCAGTTCATGTAGGAATACTAGTGGGAGGTCTGTACCTGCTTTATGAGTGTAGCCATTTTCTGTGATGGCAGCTCATATTAAGGCTAGCAGCTAGCTTTTTCAGTTTTCTGGTCATCAATAAAAAGCACTAAAACGTTTGTTTTGTCTTTGTTAGCATCATGGAGGAGGAGCCTGGAAGCATCTTGCCATTGGGTCAACCCACCACTGAGGAACCAGTCTGTCTACGTCAATTTTACTCTGTTGTCTCTTCATGATCTGGAGGAGCTGTCCAGGTCCATGAAACCCTCTGGTTCTCCAGAGGACCCCCTCCCACCAAAACTACTAGTTGGGGCCCTTCCTGTGCTGGCGCCATTTATTCTGGAAATCATCAACAACAGCATTTCGACTGGAGTGTTTCCAACCACCTTTAAGAATGCAGTTGTACATCCTTTACTGAAAAACCTGGCCTGGATCATACCGATTTTTCTAATTATCGTCCAATTTCCAAACTCGTTTTTATCCAAGATTATTGAGAAAGTAGTTCACACTCAACTTTCCAGTTACTTAGGAGATCATAGCCTCCTTGATCACTTTCAGTCTGGCTTTAGACCTCACCACAGCACAGAAACTGCACATCTTCATGTATTAAATGATATCCTGGTGGCAACTGATTCTGTTTCCCATGTCCTTCTGTTACTCCTGGACCTCTCTGCTGCCGTCGACACAGTGGACCATGACATCCTTCTTAGGATGTTGGAGATGAGGTTGGGGGTAACAGGGATCGCCCTTCATTGGTTCTGATCATATTTGTCAGATAGACAATTTAGTGTTCACATTGACAGCTTTTCCTCTCCATCTACTCCACTTCGCTGGGGTGTGCCTCAGGGTTCGATTCTAGGGCCACTCCTATTCTCGATTTACTTATTACCATTGGGGATGATTCTGACAAACTTGGAATGAGTTATCACCTTTACGCGGACGATTGCCAGATTTATCAGGCTTTAAGTAAACCTGACTCAACACGCCTCCTTGTCGACTGTATTACTGCAGTTAAAGGTTGGCTGTCGGAGAACGTCCTTTGCCTTAACGAAGACAAGACCGACGCCATTCTTTTTAATCCAATAAATCCAAAGCATGCACCTGGTGACTACCCTCTACCGTTTTTAAATCCTGTGTATCCAGTCTGGGAGTGAAACTTGACTCTGATCTGTTAATGAGTTCACAAATTAACTCTACAGTCCGGTCCTGCTTTTTTCAACTTTGTCGCATCTCGCGCTTAAAGTCAATAGTTAAACGACCTCAGCTGGAGTCTGTTGTTCACGCCTTTGTAAGTACACGTTTAGACCACGCCAACTCACTACTTGTTGGTGTCAGCGCCTCAGCAAGCGAGCGTCTACAGAGAGTGCAAAATGCGGCGGCTAGGTTCCTGACAAACATCTCGAGACGCTGTCACATTTCACCCGTCCTTGCACGCTTGCACTGGCTGCCTGTTAAACACAGCATCCAATTTAAGGTTTTGACCTTTGTCTACAATATTCTGAATGGTCAAGCCCCGGCTTATCTTTCAGAACTGATAAAGCCTCATGCTCCAACCAGGAACCTGAGATCTGCAGGATCATTTGCTTTTGTGCGTCCCGAAAATGTGGTATAAATCTCGTGGAGAGCGGGCCTTTGCGTTCACTGCTCCTAAACTCTGGAACGCTCTCCCCCTTAGTGTTCGACTGGCCCCAGAACTGGGTTGATTTAAGTCGATACTGAAGGCCTTCTTCTATCATTTAGCTTTCATTCAATGGTCTAGTTTTTAGAGTTTTTACGTTTTATTGTGGCTTTGTATTTTATTGTTGTGTTTCTTTCACAATTTTTTAGATTTTACCTCATACCTCCTATATGACTTTTATGTTTTTATCTTGGGGTTTGTCCTTTTTACTGTACAGCACTTTGGTCAGCTGTCATGCTGTTTTTAAATGTGCTATATAAATAAACATGGTATGTATGGAAGTAAAAGTTAGACTAAATGTATTTGGAGGCGAAGCATAGAGCTAAAATCATAGTAAACATTGGCGCTGCCTACTCTCGTTTGAAGGAGCTGCAGGACACTATGAAATCCCAAACTGATGAAGACCTGGCTTTGTTGCTACTGGACTTATATTTTTTCAACATTGTGGATCTCTGTACTTCCTGGCTTATTTAGCATCTGTTGGTTCGTGTTAGCGTTAGCTTATTAACGCTAGCTAAAGCAAGCTAAAACAGTGTTGTTTAGGATGGTTGTAATTCTGCTTTCAACCCGTAGGAGGGAGAAGCGGGAAACATCTTTAAGAAGATGTTTTGATACTGGTAAAAGTACTGTCTTAGAGTTTAAAATGTTAGGAAATCTATTTTAATGCAGAATGATGACTGTAAACTAGTCTGACTTTGCTTTGTTGAGAAGTTTTGCAACAAAATCCTTGAAGAAGCACCTCTGGAATTTACAGTCAGGATACAGATACTGTGTTTTCTCGGTAAAACAAACAAAATAAAAAATAAACTTCCAAAAAAATTGCTTGTCTACAGGAAAGATGGGGAAAAAGCAACACAAACACACTCAAAAAATTATATACATATATATATATATATATATATATATATATATATATGTATATATAAGATGGATATGGTGATTTTTGTACTGGATGTGTGGAACACACTTCTTTGAGTTTAAAGAAAATAAAGAAATTAATCAGTGCCCGTCAACACTCACCTGATTTTTTATTGACCACACCATTTTTTGAGTTTCTAATAAAAAAAGTAAATCACAGGCTA